CTATGGCAGCAGCAAGAAGAAAGAGCAGACAAAGTAGGAGATGGAAATTATCTCTTGCAAACATAATGCAAATGTAAAGCAACAAATTAGGCATTAGGAACTTCCAATGCACCCAGACTTTTACTGATGGGTGTGTCCTGCAGGCATGTAGAGTGAACAATTGCCTAGACATTCAAGCCAGGTTCTCTGTGATGTTCGAATCCTCTCAAAAGATTGCATGATACTTTGATTAAAAAGTGGCATTTTTGTTTTCAGTACCAGGACAGTTAGCCATTATTTTTCATTCCTAATTGCTTTTTTTGCACTTTCCATTCAATCATATCCAATTTTTGGAGATTGCCTGGAGAAGTCCCTGCAGCTTTCTTGGCAAGTTTTTTTCACAAGTGGTTTGCCATCGTCTCCTTCCTAAGATTGAGAGGGAGTGAATGGCCCAAGGTCACCCACGTGGCTTTGTGTCTAAGATATGACAAGAATTCAGTCTCCTGGTTTCTAGCCTGATGCCTTAACTACACCAAACTGATTCTCCATAACTGCTAGCTGTAACCTAATTCACACATACAGCATCCATTTCTAGCAAGTCCACTAAGTTTATATTATCTGTCTTTACCCACACTGCGTCCCAGGTCCCAGCTGATAAAGAGGAAATGGGGATTTTGTAGTAACCTTCCCCTGGAGTGGGGAGGGAATGGAGATTTTACAGTATCCTTTTTTTTTTTTTAATTTATATGCCGCCCTTCTCCGGAGACTCAGGGCGGCTTACAGTGCGTTAAGCAATAGCCTTCATACTTTTGTATATTTTTATACAAAGTCAGCTTATTGCCCCCACAAACTGGGTCCTCATTTAACCTACCTTAGAAAGGATGGAAGGCTGAGTCAACCTTGAGCCTGGTGAGATTCAAACTTACAGTAATTGGAGACAGCTGGTGTTAAATTACAGTGCTTAGTCTGTTGAGCTATCCAGGCTCCTTCCCTTGCCACATCACCAAGCCATGCCCACCAAGCTATGCCACGCCCACCAAGCCATGCCACACCCACCAAGCCATGCCAGCCACACCCACCAAGCCACACCCACAGAACCGGTAGTATAAAATTTTGAAATCCACCACTGTTTTGTGTACTGTTTTGATGGGATCTATTAAATTTTAATAGGAATTATAATCATAAAAACCTAGAGTTGGAAAGGACCTTAAAGAGTTTTTCAGTCCAGCTCCTGCCTAGTTCAGGAATCGCCATAGCCTTCTGGACAAACGGCTACCAGCAGCAGTGGGTTTCTGATATTCTTACCACCAGTTCGCCCGCACGCACTTTCCGCGCACGCGCCCAGCCTTCCTCACATGTGCTTTGCTTGCTTGCAGGCCTTCCATGCATGCACCCAGCCTCGAACATGTGCCTAAATAGGACAGCATAGAGCCAGGGTGGGTGGGCAGGCCCACACGCGATCTCTGCTACCGGTTCACTCGAACCGGTATGAGCCAGCTGAATACCATCTTTGGCTGCCAGGCTTTTCTTGAAAACCTCCAGTGATGGAGCACCCACAACTTCAGGAGGCAGACTGCTCCAATGCTTTGGAAAACAGTCACAGTCAGACAATTCTTCCTGAGTTCTACTTTGGATCTCTTATTGAAGGGCTTCCACCTACATGTACTTTTCTTTCCCCTCAGGTGCTAAGGAGAATAAATCTTTTTCCTCTTCTCTGTGACATTCCTTAATGCACAGAAAGACTGTTATCATGTGCCCCTTATCCTTCTCTTCTTTAAGCAAAGCATCCCAAATTCCTTTAAGTGCTGTTCCTAGGATTTAGCCTCCAAGCCCCTCGCCGTCTTTGTTGCTCTTCTCTGCACTCTTTCCAGACCAATCTGAGACACCACAGATGAAATTAACACCCACATAAATCTCTAATGATCTAATCAGGAGTACAATCAGAATCTGACAGATGAAGGTCTTACACAAAGGCCTTGGGTTTTCAAGAGAAGCGTGGCCAGATAAAAATGAGAAGTTTGAAGTGAAATTATCTCTAAGGCAGATTTTCTATCAGTTTGGCTGCTTCCTCTGAGGGCGATACACAAATCACTGTGACAGGCAAGAGTAAAATATAGTTGTTCATACACATCCTTCATCATCAGCCAACCTTCAGTGTGCAGTTCTTGATAAAAGAGCTTATTTTAAGTAAATAATGGTTATGGTCTTGATTTAATTACAAGGCTAATATATATGCTTGGTTTTATAGGAATTTGGACTAACTCAGAAGGTTTACAGAACATTGCTCAACCATTTGCTGTGCAAAACACAACTGTTGAATTAAAATGTATTCATTTAAATAGAGGTAATTTAAAATGACTCCTTTCTGAGTTTGAAACTCAATTCATATGTCATACTAACCTACAAAATGGTTTGCAAACCACAGTGACTAGATTCATATAATACACTGTAATAAACCATATTACAGATTAGTATAGGATTAGAATCTACCCTCTATCTGTTCTAAATTTAAGTGGCAGTGTCATCTGGCTTCACTATGACCTGGAGGAAAAGGATGAAACAAATTGGATGAGGTTAAACCACTCTGGATTTAGTTTGTACTTAAAGAGAAAATGATCCCTTAAATTCTACTGAAGTTTATATCAATAGGAATTAGACAGGTTTATACACACGCATATGTAGAAATGTGCTTCATTTCTTCTACAGACTCTGTCTTCAGGTTTCCTTAGTTTAGAAAGTATATTATTTTTGCTTCAAATTATTTTTAAACTTGGGGGTGGGAAACGACCCATCTTTTTTCATATACCTACAAGAGTGAAGAATGTAACAAGCATCAATCACTCTCATCTTATTGTCCAGGCAACTAAACTTTCTTGGGAAATCTCAAGCAAGTCACAATGGTAACACCACCTCTTTTTTGCCCCCAGAGTTTGCTAATCAGTGACAAGAGTTTCTCTTTTTCAGAGAACTGAAAGCACTTTTTCAAAGAAGAATGTTTGGTCATGGTGTGTGTAGTCATCTATCTTTCATCTCCGATAAACAGGTCTTGCCATTGTTTCAATAACTTGCAAAACTCTCTTTGATGAGTGGGCCAAAAAAAACATATATCTATCAATATCACAAGAAGGGAAAGCTATCTCAAACGACTTTCAATTCCAGATTCTTTTCTACCTCCAAAAGAGTGATTCTAAACATGGATGCCCCCTATATAATTAGGATGAATAGCTGTCATTGTACAGGTTTGGGAGGGATAAATTTATCAGTAAGAAAAAACTGTTGAAGCCAAAAGCAGCTATCGTAACATCCTGTGACCAGAGATTCTATATCCTAGATTAATTACATGTTGCATGAAATATTTCTTTTTGTCTGTCCTCAAGCTACTGCCAAGCAAATGTGCTGGATGACCCCCAAGTTCTAAATCTTTGAGAGAGTGTGGGATATTCTTTGCCAGCAGAAATCTGAGATATCACAGGCACACCAAGAAATATTCTTGTCTTGTAGGAACTTGTTTTCTGAAACTTACAGTTTCTGCACATGGTGCAAAGAAACTCCAAGATATAGGAAATGTGGAAACACCCAGGGCCAGATGAACTAGGAAAAGAACAGCTTTAGGAAACATTTACCTATTTAATACGGGGCATTTTTTGAAATTCTAAACTACAGTTTGGATTGGAATGCTGTTTCAGTAGTGATTCTAACAAAGATAAATAGAAAAGCATTACGCCACAACTGAAAATGAGTACAAAAATGAAATGAAACAAAGAATTGTTCCACATGTGCTATTCTGAAAATTGCATTACACTGTTGTTGCAATTGTCATTTTTAATAACACTATTATTTTAAAAAATCAAAATTACATTACACTGGTTGTCTGTTAGAATTCCTGCATCCATGCTTTTCTCTTCCTCTTTTGTGCACAAATGTGGGGGCGCGCACACAGACATACAATCAACTATCTTTCCAAGCCCATAAGATTGCCTTATCATATTGCTTCTTGCAAAGCATTTTAAAAGAACAGTCTTTCTGCTTATCATCACATAAATTCTTCCGTGACTATATTCTTATGATAAGAAGGCGCCTCTGCCCAAAGCAATGGAGGAAAAATCCTGTTAATGGCGGTCCACTGTTTCCTGACCCACTTTGATCAGATCAGAGGAGGAACATAAGCTCTTCCTCTATGTTCAAATCCAAAGAATCACAAACCCTAATTCTTTGCATGCTGCTCCCTTATCTCTTTTTCAGTATATGTTCATTTCTCACTTGAACGTCCAAGATTACATCTAGAACCTTTGACAACTTTGGAGGCAAAACTGTCTAAGGTCTACAAAGCATGACATTTGGCACCTGAGATATATGGACTTCAGTACCCAGAATTCCTCAGCCAGCACAGCTATCGACCTCACACATCTCAAAGTTGCTGAGGTAAACAAAAACCGATGAATGAAACACGTGGTTTTTTTCTGTGAGTTAGTGCTGCTTTGACGCCACTCTACAGATTCAAGGGTGTAGATAATAGTCTTGGTCTTAGCTATGAAAAGAGAATTATGGCACTTCCTAGCCTTGCCAAATACTGCCTCCTTCTTTGCCCCTACTACTGGTGGTAATTTTCTCTTGGATGGCAAGCAATCCATCATTATTACAGAAGAATGCAGCCTTTCCCAACCTGGATGCCCTCTCTCTTGTGGACTTCCATACCCCAGAGTTCTCAGCAATGGCAGTGTTGGCCAGGAATTCAGGGAACTGAAGTTTATACATCAGAAGAGCACTCCAATTTGGAAACCCTGACACATTAAGAAGTTCACATTAAAACGATGCTTGCTTTGGCACCATAAAGCCTGGACATCATCTTTCAAGAAGAGAGGAATGATAGCTCTCTCTATTTTCTCCTTCTTTTCTGACCCTTTGCCTGTGTCCATGTAGATGGAGTGGCTCTCTTTTTTTCATATCGGGATCTATTACAAAATGTGCTTACCTGGAGATGGGAAAGAATAGAAAAGAGACGCTTAGCCTTGCCTTATTACCTGCTGAAACATTTACAAATACACATGAATATGGACCGTCCTCCTCGGGGAGAGATTCACAGGATATTGGAAGGCGCCCCGCTTTCCAGTGAGTCCAACACAGATCTTTCAGAGCCTCACAAAATCCCCGGCAAGGCGGTGGGGTGACTGGGAAAGAAGCATTGCACCCAGGTACCAGTAGCAAGCAGAGAAACCACTCCAAGTAGCGGTGACACCGAGATTTAAGAAGCCCCTCCCACTCATGCAAAGCAGCCCAAACTTCCTCCTCACTGCCGTGGTGCAAATAATTCGGCACTCGGAAATGCTTCGTGCCCAGGTGGTTGCAATACGACAACTTGGTCGGTAAGGGCAAGCACCGGCCAGCCGATGGAGTCAATCCAGGTAAGAAGGAAGGAAGCCCTGAACTGCTATTGCTATGTTGCACAGCGTAGGTTAGTAGAAACTCAAGAGAGTCAGAGTTATTGGCAGGGGGGAAATCCATAACATTAGTTGCACTGGAATTAGAAACTGAATCTCTAGAATGGTTTGTTTTTGCACCAGCTACTCCTATCCCAAAATGTTTAAAGAAGGGGTGGCTTTTAAAGCTGAGGTGTGCTCCACTGTCTTTGGAGACAGGCTGGCTGGGATTTGTAACATAAGGCAGCACCCAGCTGTCTAAAGTACCCACCACCTTGGACGGCATTCCTGCATGCAAGCTGCTGTTGCTGTTGCTGCCACTGCTGCTGCTGCTGTTAGCCTGGGATTCCTGCAATTTCAAAGCTTTTGCAGTGGACAAAATCCCTTGCTTTTTTGAGAAAGCGCCCCAGGTTGCCCTTATTGCTGGGGGAGTGAAAGCAACTTCTTGCCCTGCTTCTGGAGATTCTTGAAAAACCAACATGGTGCCACTGAAATGACCATCAGGTGAAAATGAGAAAGAGGCACTACCTTGCCGTGGTTTCCCAGGTTTCTTCGGGAAGACGCGCGTCTTGTTCCACAGAAGAGCCAAGTCTTTGTTCCACAGACGAGCAAGCTTCGTTGCCCCCTCCGGCTTCTTCGTTTTCAGGGAGGTCTGTATGTCGCCTGTTAAGTTAGAGGTAACGTTCTGGATACTCCCTGGTTCCGTAACGGGGGCAGGTGATGCGCTGGTCTCAGTTGTGGCAGGTACCTCGGTCCTCTCCGTCCTGTCGGTTGTCTTTTCATCCAAAAGCTGAACCAAATTCTGAATGCCTTCAGCCACATTGAGGATCTCCACTCCCACTCCTGTAATATTTCTTTCTCTGCTTTCTTCCTGGGAAGGAGATGTTGCTGCAGGGACTGGCACGGTTGGAGTAAAGTCTGGTTGCTTCAGGGTAAATATGGTCCCCGCTTTCCCCCTGGGCTCAGGATCAGTAGTACTTTCAAAGGGAGCATTTGGCCTGGCGGTAGCTGCAGGTGTGGAATGGTCCTGGCTTGTCTCATCTTCAGCCTCGGCAGCTTTTGTGGGAGACAGCGTGGTTTCTTCTGAACCGCTCCAAAACCAATTCCTCCAGCCCTGGGCATTGGCTAAGCAGCAGAGGAGCATCAGCAGAAGCCAAGCACTGACTATTACTCGAGCCATTCAAAGGTTGCTACGGGGAAGTGCGCTGCAGTGAGTGGTGAATGAAAGAATTCACATTGATCTGTCCTCTGGAGTTGTGGGGTTAGGAAGCATGCTGCTCTCGGCCAGGCAGATATACAGTAAAAGGATGGGAGGTGTGGCTAACCGAGCCCTCCCCTCCAGCCTGTTTCCTATTAAACCAACACTTTTCAAACACAGCCTGGGAAGGCTTTTAACAGAAGGAATATACAAGCAGTTCTTAAATTGAATTCTTCCATTTTATTTACTATAATCCAAGCAGTAGAAAAGCATGCCTGGAAGCTAGCAATTTCATAATTTCAGCAGCGTGCCGCTTCCTCTCCTCCACCCAAACCTTAGAGAATATTTGGGCACATTAAGCTCCTCCCTGCCCTGAACTGATATGAAAACAAAAGGTAGAGGTTTCCCCCCCCCCTCCTTTCCTAGCTGCTTACATCTTCTTTCTCCAACCATTAACTTGATGCTTGTCTCCAGAGAAATCCCATCTAAGGGAGAATAGAAGCATCCCAAAAACCTGCAGAGGATGAAATATGTTCTGACTCATTCAAGAAAGCATTTTTTACTCACTAGTGTACTACCCAGAGAGATCCTGGTCAGGATCATGGACGTGATCCAGCCAAAGCAAGCTAGTTTTCAGTGCATTTTTTAAAAGTCTGTTCTGAGCTGAGCCTGACTCCTGATGATTATTATAGCAATCTATGCCAGGGGTGGGAAACTATGACAACTTTACAATCTGTGGACTTCCATTCCAAGAATTCCTGGATCAGCCATGCTACTGGCTCAGGAAATCTGGGATTGGGGGTCCACAGATCAGGGATGGGTTGCTGGGGGATCGCAGGGGTTCGGGAGAACCTCTAGCTAAGATTCTGTGCAGTTCAGAGAACCCCCAAATCCCACTCGTGGCTGGCCCTGCGTCCCCCCCACCCCACCCCTCCCAGGAGTCCCCACACGGCCCGTTTTGGATGCAGGTAAGTGCAGGTGCACGCGGAGGCTCAGGGAGGGAAAAAAACAGGCCTACCGGAAGTTCGTGAAGGCTGGAAATGGGTCCGTTTCTGGCTTCCAGAAGGCCTCCGGAGCCTGGGGAGGCCGTTTTTGCCCTCCCAGAGGCTTGAGGAAGACCTCCAGAGCCCAGGGAGGGCAAAAACGCCCCCCGCCATGGTGCAGGAGGCCAACTAGGCCATGCCCACCATGGCCATGGCCACCCAGCAACCAGGCAGAGAACCCCCTTCTAAAATTTTTGAAGCCCACCCCTGCCACAGATCATAAAGTTGCCATAGTTGTTCACCTCCTGATCCTTGCAATGTATTTAATAACAGTATGAAGTGATTTACCATGCCCTTTTTCTGAAGCATTTTTCACCTTTCCAGTGTAGTTTACTGTCACAAGTTCTTTTTTTTTAAAATTCTACCAAATTAGACTGACCCAGACTCAAAAGAGCCACAAAAGCATCAGATTCTGAGTGAGTGTTTTTTAAATATCTCTACATAAGGGTTGGGAGATGTTTTATTTTGAAAAAAGCCAAGATACTTTTCAAGTTTCCAGTATAGTTTGGAGCACACAAAACAAGCTTAAATCTCCATTGAAATGACTAGGATTGAACAGAAACCTACTCAGGCAATACGCTTAGTTTTCTAAATAAGCAGATCTCTAATATCAGGGGATTGTCTGTTCTTCTGCCATCGTGAATTATTATTAGTATCTGAAATAGACTGGCCCTTACAAATACCCAGAAAGTGGTGAATGTCAACATCCTACATAAGAAAAACATCCTGCAGGGTAGATAGACTAGCTGCCCTGTCCTGTGCATAGTTATTCAGATTATTCTAAATTCTAAATTCTACACTTCCTTCCATGGGATTATTGAAGTCCAAAGAACTTACTTCTGTGTAAGTAGAACCAGGACAAGAAAAAGATGGATTTATAGTGCAAAAAGTTTAAACAAAGCTACTTGAAAGCAGGAATGGCTGGAAATCTCTCTGCCCAGGGAATGAAATACCAGTGGTTGAACATGTTCAGTATTGTGCAAGCTCCAATTTGTCTAGGGAAGGTGGGCTATTGTGTACAAATGTTACTGAGATGACAAACCCTACACTTCTATTTGAGCAAACCATTCTAGGGTCTGGGCATGCCTAGATCAGCAAAAGGGACACCCAGCTTAGCTGCTAAGCATCTGCAAAATGCTTTTATCTTGTTCAGTGTCCTTTCAACTGGCAAAACGATGGGCGTGGAGGAGGTATATAATTTATTTCATCTAAAATTTCTAACCTAATCCCCTCAACACGGCAAAGCAGGCAATACCTTAAAAAGTCTAGAGCATTGAGGAAAACACACACACAAACACATGAATGCAAACCCAAGCTGGGCTGGAACTATGAAATACTTGTCTCAACAGGTGGCAGAACTTAGCTTCTAAATACTGCCAAGGTTGGATAAACAGGATTAGCCATGGTTAGTAATGGATTGGAAAACCACCGGTATCTTCTAATAATTCCTATCAGTGCAATACTGTAATCTCCCCCCAATTTAGGGCTTCCCAGATGAATTTAGCTCCTATCGCCCTCAACCAGTGTGGCTTTTGCTGGCTAGGAGCATGGGAGCAGAAAGTCATCAAAGCTCAAGGGTGCGGAATTGAAGAAAGCTGCATGAATTCCCTCTGGACTATTGTCAAAGTCTGCATATGTTTTCCATAGACTGAAAAAATGGTTGGCATCCTGCGGAATAACCACCATCCTACAATTTTCACTGGAAAGCTTCTTTTCATTGATTCAAATGGGTATTAATATGAGAAAAAGCTACTTGTCTAGTAGAAACCACTTTTTTTCTTGTAGCACTGCCTATGTTACAAGGCTAGTATTGTATGCAGCTGTTATTTTAGGCATAAAAGAAAGCAATTCTTATTTATGCGCACACAGGAGAAAAATGGAGGGATTCTTAAAAGGCCTGCTCTCTGTGAGCATGGAGGATAGATGGACAAAATAATTTCCCAGCAACGTAAATTTAAGATTGAAAACAAATTATTTAAATAATGTTAAAGCAAAACACTAACATCAATGTAGAACTTGCATTAAAGCCATTTGAAAATATTATTAAAAGCTCAACTTTATGAGTTTTGAAGGCTACTCTAAAACCTCCAAAGAAGGCCAGTCTCTGGGTATTTTATAGAGAGTTCATTCTGCAACCTAGGAGAACAAATGAGAAGATCAGATGAGCTGATGGCACCTAAACACAAACCTAATCTAATGACCTCGGAGAGGCCCCATGGATCATGCAAAGAAAAAAAGGATTGCTCTCCCATAATAGACAAATCACTGAACCACACTGGGTTGTGATATCTTAAAAATCCTAGGGTGCCATGGGAGGTTTCTGCATGAACCAGGTTGGGAATTAGAGTGTAACGCCTTGGATAGTCCCAAAGAACAGGTGTTCATCAGACATGCAGAAACCATTCTTCCAAATCTTCCTTCCGCCAAATCACTGGGCTTTGCCCCTGATTCCAATTCCAAGCCCTGGCCAAGTGTCAGGATTTTTTAACTATGACATATGGATGTTCAAAGTTTGCTTGAATGGGCAATGATGTAAACTTTTCTGAGGATTAAATAAAGTGAATGTTAAGACAGCTGTACAATCAAAGATGAACTGTTTTGTAGCCAAATCCTCCCATTTTAACTAATTTTTATGCATGCAAACCAAATGTGAATGGTTTATTCTGAACAGAGAATTTATTTTTCCATTAGAGAAGGGGGGAGAGTTTAAAACAAACCTAAGACCCCATTTAAGTGACTCAACCAGGCATTTCATCTATTAATACTTCTTTGAGATCCTGAAAAAGAACCGTATGTTATGGCAACTACTACATGAAAGATTTTCAAGAAACCAAATAAGTTCAAAAGCAAAACACTCATAACACTTCACCTTAGAATGAGTCAAGCTCAACCCTATTACTCATTTCTCAGATTTTCCACTGCTTTGCAAATAGATGGTAAGAACAAGAGAAAACTTCTGTAGTACAATTGTGTCCAGGTTTAAAAGAGAATTGGGCTCCTGAGATTTATCAACAATTGTAAAAAAGGGATTTCAGCAAATATATATTAAATGGCAAGCTATACTTGCTGAAATTCCCTTTTTTACAAAAAAAAAGGTACAAGAATTCTTGCTTGCTTTTGCCCACTTTTAAGAAGGGTGCAATAGTAACCATTATCATGAATATTGTGGTGATAATCAACCACCCTCACATTTCCAATTACCACCCGAAATTTTCAATTTATTTTTGTTACCTTTTGAATAGGCTAAATATTTTGCCAGCTACTAACTTTTATTTGGCTCTTCCAAATTCAGATGCGACTTGCGCGTTCAAGAGACAGAACTGCTGTATATTCCCACAATACTTCTTTTAATCAATTTATGGAATCCCGAATATACTGTAAATAAAACCATTAACTTTAAATTAATCATTTTAAATTAAATTAAATTAAATTAATCATTTAAATCACTGATTTTAGGACAACTTGCCTGTCCCTTGGTGATGGGGAAGCTTGAATTACTATAAAGTTGCTAAGCATGGAGCAGAGGGATTCATCCTCTGGTTCCTGAATATGGTTTGGAAGAGGGATAGCTTCCAATATCAACAGGGGCATAGTCTTATAGCCCTAAAATTTATAGTTCAATATATACAGTACATAAATATCTAAAGGCTTGATCTCAGCCTTAGGAAGATGGAAATGGCAAGCGCTACTGTTACCAAGAAAACTTCAGGACTTATCCAGCAGATAACATTGACTTGACATCACAATATTATTAATTAAAGGTCCCAGAGAGAATTTACTGCAGGATGACAGACTCTGAGCTTCAGCATCACATCTCCCTAAGCCTGGTGTGAAACTTGCCCTGTAAACCATTTATTTGTTTATGTCCTCATGACACTGTCTTTCTCCCATCCCCAGATCACAGCTGAAGCAGCTTAGAATGATCTTGAGCTGCTCTAGTTTTAAAGCAGGTTTCTTGTCTCAATACAATTTCTGCTGAAAAGCTCATATTCCATCACCATTGAGGCTGAGGACACTGTCAGGCACCAAGATCTGCCCAGCCATTGACCTCTAAGGCTGCTGCAGGCATGACTCTTCCCCTCTGATCATGGAGAGCTCCTCTCCATGGCCTTTTTGAACTGGATGCAAGAGAGACCAAATACATGACTTCCAAAGCCTTGTCAGATGTTACATGGATTTCTTATAAACTAGGACCTGCCAGTTGTGGGTCACTGCTTTTGTCACCACTGAATATATCACAGATTTTCTCCTGATTCTGCTAACAAAAGGTTTTTTATGGCAGTACATTTTACTGAAGGGACGCAGTGGCTCAGTGGCTAAGAAGCTGAGCTTGTCGACCGAAAGGTCGGCAGTTCAGTGGTTCAAATCCCTAGTGCCGCGTAATGTGGTGAGCTCCCATTACTTGTCCCAGCTTCTGCCAACCTAGCAGTTCGAAAACACGTAAAAAATGCAAGTAGAAAAATAGGGACCACCTTTGGTGGAAAGATAACAGCGTTCCATGCACCTTTGGTGTTTAGTCATGCCGGCCACATGACCATGGAGACGTCTTCGGACAGCGCTGACTCTTTGGCTTTGAAACGGAGATGAGCACCGCCCCCTAGAATTGGGAACGACTAGCACATATGTGCGAGGGGTACCTTTACCTTTACATTTTACTGTTTTTATTTTGGTGAGCAAGTGGCACCATCAGGCCCACTCAACTGCAGGTCCATGCCTGTCCAAGAGCTACTTTCAGGCGCTACTGGACATGAAAACAAAACTCCTGAGAAGCTTGTAATTCAGTCCACGATGGAATTCACTCATTCTTGATGGCTTCTTCCTGCACCCCATCTTTGGAGTCTGTGACTAGTCAACTGGGCTATTAGTGGATTGAGTTAGATCCATGTTCAGTAAAAGCCCACCGGAGCAACTCCCTGCCCGCAACCTGTTAATGGGGCAATTCTGCACGTGGGCCAACACACCATTCCAACATCCACCTACACACACCCAACCCTGCCCCACCCCATATTAGGGAGTGTATTTAGTGGCTGTTTTCCATCTTGTTGGAAGGAGAAACAAAGCTGGGAAAATCCACCAGTTGCTTTCCTTAACCTATCCCACATTAAAACATTAAGGAGGGGGTCCTGCTCACCAGCCTAGTCTCTGAAGCAGAATACTGCCAGCAATTGAGATATGAAATGTTATATCAGCAGCATAAGCATTCTTTTCTTGTGAAGAAGTGGTGGATGGCAGATTAACATGGCCATCCAGCTATGCCCACACTGCTGTTTATTGCTCAATCATTCATCATGCTACCAGGCAAATGGCAACTCCACATACATGGTCTCAGCTGAACTTTAAAACAAAGTAGCTTCTGTTTTATATCTATATAACACACCCATTGTGTAAGAGGAGTCCCTGTAATAAGCCAGCTAATTGTAATTCTTTTTCACAAACATGGAATTGCTCTGGAAGATTTAGCATGGCGGCGGCAGTGGTGAATGGGTTGATCACAGAATGGTGAACAATTTTCTTCTCTCCTTGACCATTTGCCTAACGTATTTTAAATCTGTTTTTCAGGGTATGTCTGCTCTGTATATTGTAAATCTAAACTGGCCCTTATCCTAGAATACAAGGCCAGTCATTTTTCTTGTCCTTCAGTGCTTAAAGCCCCAATTTTTGCTGTTCAAACAGATTCACACAAATAAAGACTTCATTATTTCCACACAGAGCTTTGGAGTTTTGGAGACCAACCAAATGCCACTTTTTCTCATGGGCTACCTTCAGCAATTTAACTGTTGAGAGTTACCTTAGTGGGAATCACAACATTTAAAATGGAATTTATTCAAGTAGCAATCAGGAACTAAGGAATGAAAATTAAGCAGTTGCAAACAAGAATCTATCTTGCCCCAATATTTATTGAAACAAAAACAAAAACAAGCAACTGCAATCCTGTTTTCCTTCATTTTGCCTTCCTTACTTTTTTCTATGCATATAGGAGTAGTGTAATTGATTCATATAAATTTATATTCATACTCAAAATAACCTTAAGCAAGATTTTCTGTTTCAGATTTTATTAGTTAAAAAAGAATAAAAATAAAAATCAATTTTCAACCTTATTATTTATATGATTAAAAAAGGAATCTGACATTGAAGGGGGTAAAACATGAAGTAGCACAGACTGATTATTTATTCACAAACAAACACCATTAAGAAAAGTGGGATTTATTCCTTAATAAGTATATATAGCCATGATGGCGAACCTATGCCACACATGCCACAGGTGGCATGCAGCGCCCTCTCTGTGGGCACGCGAGCCGTCGGCCTAGTTCAGCTCCACTGCACATGCGAACGTGCCTCCCGCCAGCCAGCTGGTCGTCGGGTCTCTGCCGCACATGCGCGGGGATGGGGCACATACGGGGGGGCCACATGCGCATGCACAAGGGTGGGGAGTGTGCAGGGCCCAGGTGTGCATGCACAGGGGCATGTGGGGGAGCGCGCATGGATGTGCGGAGGGTCGGGGCGCGCACACACATTGCATTTCAGGTGCACACACGTGCATTCACATACGTCCACGTACGCGCTTTGGGCACTCAGTCCGGAAAAGGTTAGGCATCACTGATATATAGGATTGCTGTCTAAAACATTAATTTCAGCAGACATTATCTAAGGACTACAAATTACAAGGCAAATAATCTAAGGTTGGAACAAGAGAAGCAACTATAAATCTCCTGTGTGCCCTCAAAGTTTAAAACCAGCCACACTGACATAAAGGATATTGGAGTGGGCTGGGCTCCGTGTCTTGTAACATGTCCCAATCCTTGCCTATTTCTATCCTTTTGGCTACAAGTCAAAATATCAGCCTTCCACTGGTCTCCAATGGACTAAACCACCTAAAGATACAGCAATGAAGTGAGGGGGCCTATGGTCATTCTTTATGAACATCCTACATTCTATCCCCTTCGGATAAAAAGAAGAGGGTGCTTTTGGAACAGCAGGCTCATGTAGTACCAAATAAATTACATCTATTTTTCAGAAAGGCTGGAAGTATAAGGAATGCCCTGTCCCCTAAAGAGATACATCTGGTGGGACCCAGAAGAACGGCCTTCTCCATGGTGGTTCCCTCTCTCTGGAACATCATCCCCCCCGAGATAAGACTGTCCCCTATTCTAACACTCTTTTGGAAGGTCCTGAAGATGTGGTTCTGTCAGCTGGCCTGAGAAACCCAAAGCAGGATGGAGCCCAATAAATGGCTAATATGAATGTATGTTGTCGCTGGAGTGGAGGATGGGGGTTATTATTTTATTATTTTATTTTTATTATTTTTATTTCTTTTATATGGTATTTTTATATCCTTGTAAACCGCCTTGAGTCGCCATGTGCGAGTAGGTGGTAATATAAATTGAATGAATGAATGAATGACCAAAATTTTACCAAGTATTATATGCTTTTTCTAGGCAACCTGAAGAATGGATGATAGCACTCAGGGCTGGAAAAGATGGCCAACCATTAGAACAAAGTCGGGTTTCAAGTCTGAAAACTGTGTACCTTAGAGAAGTGATTGTTGGTATAGAAAGGAATAAAAGCCTATTTCTGAAATATTTTTCATTTTTTATGACCCCTAAGTATAACATAAGTAGAATTCCCTTTTCTTCTGGCTGTTTTCCCAGACTTCACACTATACTTTGTCTTTGGAAGTTGCTATTGATAGTATCTACCTCCCTATTCCATTTCATTTTAGATAATATAACAGTTGCTTCTACTGTATGCAAGGTTTCTATCAGTTTCAGAGATTAAAGAAACTTTCCCTCCCCCTCCCACTCTTAAGAAAAGGACATTCTTCTCCATAGAAGTACATTCCTAGCTTTTACTTGTTCTTCATGACTTTGACCCAATACATTTTTTGAAGCACCTGGATTTCCTCCTATAGTCATAGCTCAGAGAACATGGTGCCTGCAATCAACAAAAAATATCCTTAAAAGTGGGATTAATTCCTTCCTGTCAGGGTAAGCATTAAGATGCTATTGTGTTTTGGATTTCTGAGCCTGTTTTCACATGAAAGGAAACACAGTTGAATTCACTATGGAGCAATAACCTGGCAATCTGCTCAAACTGCTTTGGGAACCTGCCAGGACACTGTTTCCTTTCTTATATGTTCCAAATTTTCCTATGTACATCCCAGTGCCAACTGAACCGCTAGGATAAAATAAACCATGACTTTCAACTAGATCCAAATTAAATGCTGTGCAGGAGGATTATTAATGAAAACTTTGATTCTGGGTTAGGATATACGGTAATTTGGATCAGGACTATGGGACTGGGGGAGAAAGGACCATCAGTTTCTCCCTGAGCAGGTTTTCCCCAATCAATTTTTTTTAAAAACCTACAAAACTCAACTCCTAGGACATAAAACAAGACAATATCTCAGAACTACCTAAGCTAAGGTGCAGAAAAGCTAAAAAGCCACTTCAGCAGGAGAGTTCTACAATCCTACCAATATCTTGAATTTATGATAAGGTGGGACAAACCTATTGTTTGAAAAGTAAAATGCCTTTCACAGAGGCATCTTGGTAGTAGAATTGTCTCACCTAGTAATGTCTAGATCGGGGTCTCCAACCTTGGCAACTTTAGGCCTGGAAGACTTCAACTCCCAGAATTCTGGGAGTTGAAGTCCTCCAGGCTTAAAGTTGCCAAGGTTGGAGACCCCTGGTCCAGATCACAAACTGGAGGCCTTTTGCTGAACTGAATCAGCCAAAGATCAATAGAGCAACCTTCTTTTTAACTATCACCTTTTAAACCATTTTTATAGTTTCAAAATGATTTCTTGGCTACAAGCTATATACTTAATGAGATAAAGTTCTGAATGAATATCTAGTATCCTGGATTAATGTCATAAAAATGGGATTAAAAACTCTCCTCTATTCATTTGAAGATACTAATCTAGGATTCTTGAGCCACTACATCTAAGTAATTTTAAATTTCCCCTATAACTAATCAGAGTTTGACCAGGAAGAGGCTGGGATTTGAAAGACTGTTCCCTGAGCACTAGGGGATTTATTCTTTCATTTTTCATTACTCATATATGAAAATTGTGATGTTTAACTATCTTAACGTGCACAAAAGATTAGGGCTACCATTCCTTAGAAGCACCAGCCTGGTTAATGACGGGATCAAGGCTTCATGCTTTCTACTAACATCCCAATACACTCAATATTCAATATTGAGTTTAAAAAACCCACCACCATTTAAGTGAAATGCCTAAAGCTTGGGAACAGGGGCCAGAAAGAAAAAGGATGTGAACATTTGAGCTCATTGTTCTCAAGGTCATGCAAAAGCATTAACAAGAAGGCTTTTCTTCAAAAAGAGAACCAAATTGATTTCTCATGCTGATGAGACAAAGACCAAAGGGAAAGTTGCTGCTCTTTCTGGTAGTGCAAGGAAAATATTTTGAATCACTGCTGTACAGCTGTGCTATTTTATTTGCATCTAATTAAAAAAAAAACTTCCAACAAATTCCAAAAAGAAAATGTTACTGGTAACACAAGCAACCATGAGCTAGAGGAGACAAAAATTCTTTCTGCTAGTACTGATAATATTGTGGGAATGCTAACATCTGGCTAGGCTTGTCCCCTTATCAGAGATGTGCCCTGTTGGATTTCATGTGTGGCATCAGTCATGACCCTTGAGAAAGGGTTGAGTGTAGTGATTGTCATCTGAGATGCTTAATTGGGCCCCAGCAGCACTACTCCACTGATTGGCAGACCCTGTTTGCTAGGTTGGGCTCTAATGATCGCTTGGGACTGCTGCTATTATTCCAGCCTCCCTGCTCCATAGCAACTTCCCTGCCTACCTCTGTTGGTCCTCAAGTATTCTGGGGTTGCCATTCATTGAAGGGAGGCTGGTCACTTGGTCCACTCCATTCAACTGTCTGCCCCAGGCAACAAATAGATTCATGTGGCTTTCAAATAGAATTTGGGCTTGTTCCTAATGGTCTGCTGCATGGTCCAACTGAAGTCCTGTGACTGCCTGGAATTGCAGGGTGACCGGGGCTTTGGATCAGGTCACATTATGTGACATCACCTTTTATGGGGTTCCTGCAACTCCATTTGGTTTACAGAAGAGTAGAGGGGGATGAAATGGATTAAGAGATGTCCGGAACATTGCTGGAGGGCAACATAGAGTGAATATGACTGGACATGGGCTAGAGCCATTATTAGGCCTTACCTCCTGGACATAAAGGCAGTGAAATGTCAATATTTCAATATTTCAATATATTTCAATATTTCTCTGTCCTTATCACATCATGTAGTTTGCAGTTTCACCTACAAGGTTTCTTCAAAGAATATGTTCAACAAATGCCATATAAAGTTGCTCCAATCCATGATAGGTTGGATTCTGACCTTGGAGCAGGTCCCGTAGAAGTTACTGGAGTTTGATCTTGTTGTTCCTGAGAAAGAAGACAGGGTTCTTGCAACTGTTAGCTTGGCCACCTTTGTTTTAGATCCATGTCCCTCATGATTTGGGTTGAGTCTTGGTGGTGGTAAATTTCTCTTTGAGAAAAAGGGTAGTTCTGCTGGCTCTTTAGGATACAATGTCTGCCTTTCCTTGTGAGGCCATTCTGGATCCAACCATTCTGAACAGGTCTGTCTTTTTAGGGAAGATTGTGGAGAAGGTGGTTGCACAGTTGTTCCAAGGAACTCTGGATGAACTGAACTCTTTCAGTCAGGATTCAGATCCAGTTATAAGATTGATATGGCATTAATCACACTTACAGATGACCTATAGCAGGCTTCCACTCAACCCTAGCAAGACTAAGTAGTTTTGAGTTTTAAGGTGCCACAGTTCTGAAGACCTTCAATCTTCTGTTTTGGATGATATTGCACTATCCCAAATGAAACCTGTGCACTATTTGGGGTCCTCCTGAACTCATAATTCCTTGAAGAGCAAGTGACAGTTATGGCTAAGAAGTCCTTTACGCAGCTTTGTGTTGTGCAACAATTGTACTGGTTCCTGTACCAAGAGGCTCTACTCAGTTTACTGATACCCTGATCATTTTCTGATTAGACTATTGCTATGCTCTCTACACGGTGTTGCTCTTGAAGAGCACCTGGAAGCTTCAGCTGATGCAAAACAATGGAACAGATAATTTATGGGTACTTTTGGTTTGGTACATGTAACATCTCTGCTCTGCAAACTTTATTGATTGCCAGTTTGCTTCTGGGTTCAATTCAAGGTGCTGGTAGTGACCTATAAACCCTTCATGGCATGGGGCTGGGATACTTCCAGGACTATCTCTCCACAGTTGTATCTATTATCTATTTTACAGTATGAGCTTTAGTGGGAGAGATAAGGTCCCGTATGTTAGGAAGTGTCATTTGGTAGGTCCTGAGAAAAGAGATTTTTCTTTTTGGTGCCCATCTTCTGTAACATCATTGCCCTGAAGAGCAGACTTGCTGGCTTTCCATAGGCCCTAAAAACTGACTTTATTGCTGAATCTGGGGCTCAGTTTGTGCGGTGGAGCCTACATCTTACTATGCTGATTGTTTCCTTGGTTTTATCTTATATTTATTATTTTTAAATGAAGTTTTTTATCTTGCTTTTTTCTTCTCCATTAGCTGCCTGCTTAATATGGACAGCAATATAAATTGAATGAATAAACAAAACGAATTTTACCCAGCTTCATGCATTTGAAATCTGTGCTTGGGATTATGTAAACCAAGTATACACTAAATGAATTACCATAGCTATGGTCAATCATATGGTTAGCAAAAAATGTATTTTAAACTTTACCAAATTCACATTAACACTGGTTTACTTGAATGCAGATCCACCATTTTAACTAGGTAGAAGGTTTGCTATACTTCATCCTGGACGGTGCCAATCCATTTTTTCCCCCTCTGAAGAGAACTCCATTTGTGCCTAATCCTTTGTCTAGCCTGCGGATTCTTGGCAGCACAGAAATTCTCGTATGGCTATTTGGATTCTTGCACGGTTGTTTAAATATTTAGTACTAGAGCTTAATGAAACCAGAAGTTGCGTCGTTGCTTCTGAGTGTTGTTCACAGAGGATCCAAGCAACTGGATAACCAACAACATATCAATGCATTGTAACGAGTGCATATTGTGCTCTCACGTCATTTTATACAGTGCTTAGTATTCTGGCTGGGTAATTCTGGGAGTACAAGTCATACATCTTAAAGCTGTTGAGGTTGAGATATGCTGTATAGGATAGCAATAGTAAGGTAAAGGTTCCCCTCGCACGTATGTGCTAGTCGTTCCTGACTCTAGGGGGCAGTGCTCATCTCCGTTTCAAAGCCGAAGAGCCAGCGCTGTCCGAAGACGTCTCCATGGTCATGTGGCCAGCATGACTAAACGCCAAAGGTGCACAGAACGCTGTTACCAAAGGTGGTCCCTATTTTTCTACTTGCATTTTTTACGTGCTTTCGAACTGCTAGGTTGGCAGAAGCTAGGACAAGTAACGGGAGCTCACCCCGGCACTAGGGATTCGAACCACTGAACTGCTGACCTTTCAATTGACAAGCTCAGGGTCTTAGCCACTAAGCACTTAGACTTAATATACCACTTCAGAGTGCTTTACAA